TGTGAGCACATCTGCTGCCATTGTCATAGTTCTGGAAGCTGAACTTTTATTTCAGTGCACTGGTGGTCTATTGTGATTACAGCTTTAGAAAAGACACAAATGGCACTAATAACTGCAGACTGTCAGGTGACCTGGTACTGATTAAATGAGGGAACTCTCCTGTTCAGGGAAGAAATAATCATCTAGTTTTCAATAACTTGAATACTAGAAGAGTGTTSTACCATGAGCACCATCCCCCACAAATGTAGACAGAGAGCCCAGAAAAGGTTAGTGGTTGTATTAATTATGTCAGGCTTCAGCAGCTGAGATGTCAGAATGRCAGGGATTGCTTGGTTCTCTTGTTGAGTCACTAACTCAGTAATGATGTAAACCTTGACTGCTCCCCATGAGCTGACTGGTGATGCTGTTTCTTCTGTGAACATATTTATATATTTCTTTAATGCAGACTTGTCAGGGAGACTCCAAGGACAAGAAAGTGGATCAGCCACCTCAGGCCAAGAAGGCCAAAGTGAAGACGACCACAGTGGACCTTCCCATTGAGAACCAGTTGGTGTGGCAGATAGGGAAGGACATGCTCAACTTATTCATTGAGAACGAGGTAAGCTCTTCCTTGCCCAAGCTGAAAATGTCCTAGTTTGTCTCCAGAAATAATGTTGTTCATTCAATGTGGTTAAGGATGATAAAGGAAAGATGAAAAGGAATGAAACAAGCAGTTAATAGTCTGAGGTGAATGGCAGTGCCCCATGGAGGCAGAACACATTCATTCCTCCTGGTCAGGGGAGCTGTAAATATCYCAGGGCTGTTCTGCAGGAAAACTCCAGAATCACCTGCAGGTACAAGGTGAGGTGGTGTGCATACTTTCAGGGTGGAGGTTCCTCATCTGGAGCAAGATTGTTCTGTCCTGTGTTGGACATCACACCAAACTGAAATGATTTTTCAGTCACAATGAGCTTTTTAGCCAATTAATTTGACACCTTGTTCACAGGGTAAGATGATAATGCAGGATAAGCTGGAGAAGGAGAGGAATGATGCCAAGAATGCAGTGGAGGAGTAYGTGTATGAAATGAGGGACAAGCTGTGTGGTGTTTATGAGAAATTCGTCAGTGAAGATGTGAGTATTGCTGCTGGATTGCCCTCTGATACATTGTGGTACAATCAACAGTTGGATTTWATAACTCTTGACCTRTATYACATACTATRTCTACATAAATTACATATTCAGCCTTTAAATTTGAGGAAATAATTGTAACCTTTCTGGCTCTGATGATAAACTTCTACATGTGGCCCAAGTAGAAGCAGCTGGTTCTCTTCCAAAACATTTGCAGCAACTTAGTTTGTATCAGAACATATTTTCAGACTAAGAGCATTTGCAGAATCATGTTAAGGCAACCTGTTCTATTTTGGCTCTTTTTCAGTATTTAGGAATAGTTTTCTCATAAAAAAGTATCAATTAAAAGCAGCCAAGAACATAATAGGTAGGATCCGTCCTACTAAAAGTGGGCACCTGTACCTGAACTGGTTGCCTAAAAACCTCTTGGCACTATTAATCATCTTTCCCTGTTGTACTGAAGGAGCTTGGTGCATAAAGAATTTGCTTCTAGTGATGAATCTCTGAACTCCTGTCTATATCTCCATTGATTGTAATGGAGCTTTGCCAGCTGGATGCCTGCAGAGCTCAAACTGGGACATGCCAGGTGACATTTATGGCACCTTTGCTAAAGAAAGGTTTCCCTCTGTTCTCAAGCTTGCTCATGCATTGATGATGAAAACATGCAGGGGACAAAAAACTTTCATATGATGGTATTTGATCTGAACTATGGCTGTCAGAACAGATGGTTCTTCTTGGGCTTGGAATCGACCACAAAGCTGTACAGAAGAATAWCTTTATTTCTTATTTTCCACTAAAATGGGATAAAGAGTTTCAGACAGAGTTCTTTATGTTCTAAAAGTACAACCCCTCCRGGAAGGTTCCAAGTATCATTTAATGCCATCTGTCACCTAATAAGTGATGTTATCTGCCTGTTTTGTGTGYATTGCTGCAGGATCGGAATAGCTTCACACTGAAGCTGGAAGACACAGAAATTTGGCTTTATGAAGATGGTGAAGATCAGCCCAAACAAATMTACATTGATAAACTGACAGAATTGAAGGTAAGTGGTTCTTACATTCCCTTGGGAATTTACTGAAGCTGGAGAGCTTTGTTCCCATGAGGAGCTGTCTGGTATCTGCTGTTTCTGAGGTAAACAAACAGCCTGGTTTGGATTTTAAGTGTGTGAGGAGCAGATCTCCAGCCAACCTGTAAAAACAGAGCTGAGGGAGGTTCAGTCTTTCCTGTAAGTGGAAGGAAGAGTCGGAGTTCCAAGGAGTTCAGGAAGGTCGATGTATCCTCTCAGACCTTGGATTCCCTCGGTGATGCTCCATGAGTTTTGATACCTCTTGTGCTTTGTTTCAGGCTCTGGGTCAGCCTATTCAGGCAAGATTCCAAGAATCAGAGGAAAGACCAAAAGCATTTGAGGACTTGGGCAAGCAAATCCAGCAGTACATGAAAGCTGTTCATGCATTCAAAGCTAAGGTATTTCCATACTTAATTTCTGGAAAATGCAAGGAAATGGTACAAATATTTCCTGAATTTTAGGTTATCTGCTTCAGACGAAAATCTGATGCAACCTCCCGATGATCTTATGGGTTCTTGATAGTTAATAGACTTACAGAAATGGTTTTTGGGCCTTGTACATCTCAGTCCCTCTTTAATCAGGTGTTGATTTTTTCATGGAGGCAGAATGCTAGCAGCAGGAGAACTTCAGTCTCTGGTTACTGAGCTGTGGGTGATCAGCTCAGTTATTTGTTAATCACAACAGCTCTTGGCTAAATGTTGTTGCGTATTTTGAAGCTATATTTTGAAGAAATCAGGATGTAATTTGTGCTCAAACACTGACACAGCTGCTCCTGTGTGGGTGTTGCAGGATGAACTGTACGAGCATCTYGATGAAGCAGACATGGCTAAGGTGGAGAAGAACACCAATGAAGCCATGGAATGGATGAACAACAACCTCAACCTTCAGAGCAAGAGGAGCCTTACTTTGGACCCGGTTATAAAAGCAAAGGACATACAGGCTAAAGCTAAAGTAAGTTTTTCTACATAATTTGCTGTATTCCCATGATTTTTTGTGTTTGTGGCTCTATCAGAAAACTCTGAGGTGAGAAATCTCAAAAGTACCAGGGAACATCAACCCTCAACTTGAGTATTCCCAACGCTGGTTTCAAAAGTTAAAGTACAACTGTGTGAGATAAAACAGTTTCTAAGGATGTGTTATTTCTGTGTTTTCTAGGAATTGGCAAGTATCTGTAATCCCATAGTGAGCAAACCCAAACCCAAGGTGGAGCTGCCGAAGGAGGAGCAGAAGCCGACGGAACCCAATGGACCATTGGACGGGCAGGGAGATGGGAGCGGGACCCACCCCCCAGAGCAGGGCTCTGCCCCCACAGCCACCGACAAGAAGCTTCCAGAAATGGACATTGACTGAATTTCAGCACTTGTTTATATTATTGCAAAYTACAATAAAGCTTTAAGTTGTCAACTTTGTACGTTCTGAATACAAACTGAAGCAAGTGAATCCCACAGCGCTCTTGGTAACTCTTGGAGATGTTTGGGCAGGGCAGCAGGCCAGAACACGGAGGTGGCAAAGGACTCGCTCAGCTCAGCAGTGTTTGCCTTTATTGATTGTATTTAGAAGTTTTGGTAGTCTAACTAGACCTCTAGGAACAGCCATAAGCTGCTTCTCCATTTTTAATGTCCAGGCTGAGTCAATCMTCCCTTGAAGGAGGGAGACAGCACCATCTGAAGTCTGATGTGCGCACTGCTCTTCCCTTCCCTGCAGATTGCAGCACTGGCACTGCAGGGAGCACAGGGGAGAGCCAAGGCACAGTCTTCCATTGCCCTTGGTTTGGTGTTAATGCCTGCTCTGGACTCACTCTGATTTGCACTGGAACAGTTGATGGTTACAGGAGGTTTGCAGAGCAGGGGGTGGTTCATCAGCACCTTTATTCCTTAGCCCCGACTGCAGATCAGACTCAGAATGTGCTCCTGGACGKGGGAGTGGGTTTCTCACAAACTCCCCAGCTAATTAGGCCCTGTAAACTCTTAGTCTCTAGTTAAATTAGCTGCTTGTAGAAAGAGTGAATACTTGTATTTCAGCTGCCTATGCTGATAGTTGAYTCTGACTTGTTCCTAACTTTTTCTGGCAGGGGTATGCTTGCTTTCACGAGGCCTTCATTTGGAATGCTTGGTTTTTTGTTTCGGTTTCTTTTTTTCCAGGAAAACCAAGAACTGACAGATATGTTGGTTTGTTTTGTTGGTTTTTTTTTTTTCTATGAGCTTTATACAATGATTTGCTTCTAGTACTGATTGTCATTAAACTTGCAAAAATGAATTTGTATGTGTTAAAATCCAAAGCTAAAAAACACCCATTCAGATATTGCAAGAAATAAATGCACTGGATTCTACTGGATCACCGGCTGCACCTGTTGATTCCAAGGGCGAGAGAGCKGTGTCGGGGTGGTGGGAAGGGCTGTGCCCCTGGTTCTTGGGGTGTGCAGGGAGCTCTGCTGGGCTGCCCCGGGGCTTTGCGGCTTCCGAGCTCGCGGGGTGTGGATGGGTGCGGTGGGTGTGAGCTCCAGCTCYCTGCAATGAATCACAATCATGGAATGCTCTGAGTTAGAAAGGACCCGCAGCGATCWATGAGTCCAACTGCTGCCCCTGCACAGACAGCCCAGCACTCCCACCSTGACCGTTCCCTGGGGAGCCTGTTCAGTGCCCGAGCACCGCTGCTCACTGGGGCTCTGTGCCGGCTCCGTGCCTGCCGGGGGCGGCGAGGGGCGGCAGGCGGGACCCGGAGCGGGCACCGAGCACCCCGGGCTGGGCCGGCCCGGCCCTCCCGGCCGCCGGGGGAGCTGCGGGGCCGGCCCGGTGCTTCCTCTCCGCGCCAGCGCTTCCCGTCCCTGGCCGTGCCTTCCTTTCCCGTCCCTCCCCGCCGCCGCTCCGCGAGGGGCAGGGCCGGGCCCCCCTCGCTGTCCCCGGCCCGCTCGGCCCGGCCGCGGCTGCCCCGGTGAGGAGCGGGCGAGGAGCGGGTGAGGAGCGGGCGAGGAGCGGGTGAGGCGGGGCCGGGCTGGGCTCCCTGCCCGGGGCCGTGGAGCCGGGGCACGGCGCTGGCAGCGGCCGGAGCCGCCATAGGCACGGCGGGGCTCGGCCTGGAGCCTGGAGCCCGGGGCTCGTTACGGAGCCGCCGCCGCGGGGTGGGCCCCGGGCCATTCCGGGCCATCCCGGGCCATTCCGGGCCATTCCGGGCCATTCCGGGCCATCCCGGGCCATTCCGGGCCATTCCGGGCCAGCCCGGGCCAGCCCGGCCCCGCAGCTCGGCCGCTGCTGCTGCGGCTGCAAACGACTCCCCGAGCCCTGAGCGCGGGGCCGGGCACGGCAGCGCCCGGGGGACTTTAACCCTGAGCCCGTGTTTTGTTGCTGTTTGTTTGTCCGCAGCAGCCCCAGCGCGGTGCCGGAGCCGCGGCTGTTCCCCCACAGCAGCGCCTGTCCGTGCCTTGAGGATCGAGGAGAAAGCGGCCCTGAGGGGATGCTCAGGGAGCGGCTCCTCGGCTCTGCCCCTGCACGGCTCTGACTCGCGAGGTAATTCAGCCAGTTGGCTTTATTGCCCCAAATGTAGAGCTTTATTGCCCCAAATGTAGAGCTTTATTGCCCCAAATGTAGAGCTTTATTGCCCCAAATGTAGAGCTTTATTGCCCCAAATGTAGAGCTGAGATGCCTGTGCAGGATTTTCAACAGGAACCTTTTTACTGTTATTTTCAATAACTTTAATCACATATGGGACTGTTACCCTGTTTGCTTTAGAACACTGGACAAGAGCTACTGTTACTAATTCATTTTTCATGGAGTTTTTGGGGGTCTGTTTTCTTTCAAATGTCATTGAAATGTTCCTGTGCCACTTGTGCCATCTCCATATTTCATTATTTCCCTCCTTACAGCTGTMTTTACCTACTAAAACACAGTTTGCTTTCTGACTTTCCAATATTATGTTGTGGGATTAAATTTTATAAAGCTACCAATGTTCTTTTTCAAACTGTACAATACCTTAATTATATTTCACATTGTTTTAGATTGRGTACTTGGGTTTCTAAATCTTACTATAGTATAAAATGGATGGCCCAAATTGATAATTTGCATTGGTTGCATTAACTTGGTTGATGTTGCAGAGTGGTGGTGATTGCACAGAAAAGTTAAATGTCTTCAGAGGACAAGGAAGCTCAGGAGGACGAGCTGCTGGCTCTGGCCAGCATCTACGATGAGGATGAGTTTAAGAGAGCAGAGTCTGCCCAAGGAGGAGAAACAAGAATTTGTCTGGAGYTGCCTCAAGACTTCAAAATTTTTGTGAGTGGTGAGTTGAGATGTTTTGTGCTATCCCAAGGGAGGCTTTCCCGAGCTCAGGTGGTTGTTGGGCAGTGACCTGAGGGAACRGTGACTGGACAAAGCTGAGGCTCASCCTGTGCTGTGCTTGTTGGGGACTGGGTTTGAGCAGTTTAATCCTCATTCACACAACTTCTTTAGTAAACYTAAAATCACAGATGAGTAATAGCACTTCTTCAGAATAATTAAGTTGTTTTATTGGGTTTTTAGTCCCTTGAGAATATGTGTTTCCAGGCTCCTGGTTTGTGCAGGATCTGACATTTCACAGTCCTGCTGTTATAACTGCTTTAATCACAGAGCTCCAACCCCGTGACATTTTACTGCACTGAGAGTTTTGTTATTTAGGGTTGAACAAATAATTTTAACCCCAGAAATAGATCAAATTAACAGACATTGGGTGCTGTCAGAAATAACAACAGTTTGTTACTCTTCATCTCCTTTTGCTTGTCCAGCTGCCTCGGTGGGCTCTGGCTCTGGCAGTTCCACGGAGAGCCTCCAGAGCAGTGGGTTTGAGTATTCCGTGTGCTTCCTGCCTCCCCTCGTGCTGAATTTCGAGCTYCCACCTGACTACCCATCGACCTCCCCGCCTGTGTTCACCCTCAGTGGCAAATGGCTCTCCCAGGCCCAGGTTTGCAGAAGATTTTTTACATTTTGACAGCTGAGTAGGTTAATAATTAACWGTTAAGGAAAATAAACAATGACGTTGCTCCTCTGTTGGCTCTTTTTTTGGCTCTGRCTGGTTTTCATTTGGTCACTATTCTGAGGAAGGAAAGTTTGCTTCTGTGAGAATTATTTTATGTGTATTTTATGGATGGAGTAAAAACTGCTGAGCCTGAAATCAAAGATTGCACAAAGGACAGTGGGAGAGGAGGAACCCAGTCAGGAGCTGTCCAAACTTACAGGAATTGGTTTTTTTTTTCCCAGCTCAGCGCTCTTTGCAAACACTTGGACAACGTGTGGGAAGAGAACCGAGGCTGTGTGGTCCTGTTTGCCTGGATGCAGTTTCTGAAGGAAGAAACAYTGAATTACCTGAATATTTCATCTCCATATGAGCTGAAAATGTGTCCTCAGGGGAAGGGGCAGAGCCGGACACCAGTGGGGCCCCTCGAGGCTGGGAAGGACTGTGGAGGTGCCACAGGCTCTGCCACAGCTGAGGAGGAGATCATGGATGCCAGAGCTGTGCAGGATGTGGAGTCCTTGTCCAGTCTGATCAGGGAAATCTTGGACTTTGACCAGGCCCAGAGGAGGAAGTGCTTCAACAGCAAGATGTACTYGTGCAGTATCTGCTTCTCAGAGAAGCTGGGCAGCGAGTGCATGCACTTCACTGAGTGCAGCCACGTGTACTGCAAAGCCTGCCTGAAGGACTACTTTGAAATCCAGATCAGGGATGGCCAGGTGCACTGCCTCAACTGCCCCGAGCCCAAGTGTTCTTCTGTCGCCACTCCAGGCCAGGTAATGCAGGGGCTCAGGGGGCTGGGGGTCTGTGACCTGCCTGAGTTACAGGGACAGGCTGCAGCTCTGCACGCTGGGCAGGCAATCACAGGGTCATTTGGTTGGAAAAGACCTCCAGGATCATCAGGTTTAACCTTTGATCCAGTCCCACAGTGCCTCCAAACCACGTCGTGAAGTGCCACATCCTTGGACACCTCCAGGGATGGGGACTCCAGACCTCCCTGGCAGCCCCTCCCAAGGCCTGACCACTCTTTCCATGCAGGAATTCCTCTTGGAATTTCTGAATGTCCCACCTGAGCCTCCCCTGGCACAGCTTGAGGCCCTTTGCTCTCATCCTGTCCCTGTTCCCTGGGAGCAGATCCTGACCCCCTGTGACCTGTAGGGAATCCAAGGTGGATTCATCYCCTCTGTGGGTACCTTTTCACTGACTTGCTGGTTTTTGCTGCAAGGCTCAGAATTACAGATGCAAGGAATCAGAGGATCCCAAACTGGTTTGGGCTGGTAGGGCCCTTAAAGCTCATCCAGTGCCACCCCTGCCAAAGGCAGGGACACTGCACTGTCCCAGGATGGGCCCAGCCCCAATATCCAGCCTGGCCTGGGGCACTGCCAGGGATCCAGGGGCAGCCCCAGCTTCTCTGGGCTCCCACCCCTGAATAAAGGATTTCCCCCCTGCATTTCCCCGTGTGTGCAGGTGAAGGAGCTGGTGGGGGAGGAGCTGTTTGCCCGCTATGACCGCCTGCTGCTGCAGTCCAGCCTGGACCTGATGGCTGAYGTGGTTTACTGCCCCCGGCCCGGCTGCCAGACCCCCGTGATGCAGGAGCCCGGCTGCACCATGGCCATCTGCTCCTGCTGCAACTACGCCTTCTGCACCCTCTGCAAGATGACTTACCATGGGGTGTCCCCCTGCAAGGTCACTGCAGGTCAGTCACCAGCCCTGTGCCCCACAAACACACCCAGACACCGCTAAATCTGCGGTGAAAAAGTCCAAAGTTGAGCAAGGGAACTCCTCACCCTGAGCTTTCTGAAAGGAATATTCATTTGGAGTAGGGCTGTTGCTGGCAATTAAATATTCTTTTGGTGACATTCCACAGGAGCTCCCTAAAYTGCTTGTTGTCAAATGCTGAGAGGCTGTAGTAATAGTATATATTACTTTATATATTTTCAYTACTTTGTGAAAGTAATTCTGATACTATCAGAATTAATACTGAAGTCAGGTGGAGGCTTCTTTCTCTGGTCTCAAAATCCTGTGACAGAATTTCATTAAATACATAGTCAGGAAAAGATTTCCATTTTTTGTTTTATTTTGCATTGTTCTAATTCCATCAACAGATCTCTTTTATAATAAAACAGTGTAAAACTGCTGAATTTTGGGGCAGAGTGGTTTTAATATCATCTTACATATTTTAATAGTTTTCATGCTTTTGAATTAATGATGATAATTTTCTTTTAAAATCTTTATGCTGCAATTAGCTGGACTTCCAGATCTAATATCTTACAAAAGCTGTTTGGTTTGGTTTTGCTCCCCAGAGAAATTAATGGATTTGAGAAACAGCTATTTAGAAGCAGATGAGACAACTAAAAAATTTTTGGAGCAACGCTATGGCAAGAGAGTGATTCAGAAAGCCCTGGAGGAGATGGAGAGTAAGGAATGGCTGGAAAAGAACTCCAAGTCTTGTCCTTGCTGCGGGACTCACATCGAGGTGAGTGTGGAGGGAAAGGCTGGGGAATCAGGGAACAGAAAAAAACCCACCTGGAGGGGCTTCTGGGTGTGCTGGAGCTTCCAGGTTCACCAGGGAGGGTGAATCTCTAGGAAATACTAAGAGAACTTTAATTTCTGTGCGTGATATGGAAAAGGAGGCGAGGTGATGTTTGTGGATCCCAGGAATTGGAGTGCAAACAGTGATTGGTGGTCAGGTTCCCACACTGAACAGATCCAGGCTGACTATGGATCTCTGTGAATCCTTTTGTTTTCCAGGTGTTCTAGGCTAGTGCTGTYKCACACTACAGCCAGGAARTAAATCCAGCTTCAGAAAAGTACTAATTTCCAGTATTTTTAGTATTACAACCAATTTCCAGTGCTGGGAWTCCAGCTCCCAGTGAAAACATCAGTTGTGGTGGAGCCAGGGTGGAATGTGTACACTGTGGTTCTGAGGGCTGTTGGCAGAGAGGGGCTGAAGGCTGCCACAGCAGGGTTCTGTTATCACCATTTCTTGTTTTTCCCCCAGAAAYTGGATGGCTGTAACAAAATGACCTGCACAGGGTGCATGCAGTACTTCTGCTGGCTCTGCATGGGCTCYCTGTCCCGGGCCAACCCCTACAGGCACTTCAACGACCCCTCCTCCCCCTGCTTCAACAGGTTGGTGCTTCAGGGACTTCCTCCACTGCTGGAACACCTATTTCTACTTTTCCTTACAGCCTCTCCCAGATTCTTACCTGAAATTTTTAGCTACAGTTTAAGACACTGTTTCTCCTCTCAAATATTTGCACTAACAGTAAAAATCAGGAGTGATCCAGGATATGGTTTTGCTTTGTAAGAACTTTGGTTTTAAAATGCTGGAGGAGTCGTCTCCTATTCCTGATTCTTTTGGTCATGATCCCATCYTTTCTGTGCTGTCCCTGCCTGAGCCACAGTCTGCAGGGAAGTCTCAGGAGCAGCTCAGGGCTTTGGGGAAGAGCTGCAGGTTGGCCTCACATTCCCTTGGGGAAGAGCCAAGGGACAGAGGTGGGACAKGTGACAGGCAGGTCACAGGAGGGTGGCAATGGCAGCTTTGTATATTCCACAGGGAGTAGGTGTGGTTTGTGGTACTGAAAACAACAGGGGAACTTGCTCTTTTTATACTTTTGTTACATTTACAGTGATACCCTTTTAAACATTTTTGACTTTTTTACACCCTGGTATCACTGATTTTCTGCCTTGCAGATTGTTTCAAGCCATGCACATCGATGATGGGGAGTTCTGGGAAGCGGAAGATGATGATCAKTAGCTTCCTCCTGCACCAAAAGGTGAACAAACCAGAGACAGATGCTTTTTCTGTGTCCTTTGTTTGCTTTTCCCTTCCATTGTGTCCTCACTGCAGGACACTCACACCTCAGAGCCTGTTGCCAAAACCAAAGGAGACTTTCCCCATCCTGGACCAGGATCGTCATGGAATTTCCAAACCATCCTGTCCATTATTAAAGAAGTCAGGAATTGGAAAACCATTGGAAATATAGATCCCAAGRGGTGCCCCTTTTTTTAAAAGCCAGCAGACAAAACTGAAGCCTCAAATCCTGGAAGTATTTGGGGGTTTCCTTTGGGGAGACTGACCCTTGTAAACTCTTGGGTCATGAATGTKATGGGGTTTGGGGTGGTTTGGTAGAGCTGTAGTGCTCTCTCTGGAGCTGGTTCGTGATGCTGCTTGGACAGGGGGAATTTTCTGTTATCATACAGAAAATTTCTTCTCTATTCAGCAACAAGTTTGTTGCTTTTCTGAATTTCCTGATGTGCTTCTCTGAAAAGCAGAATCTGGCTCTGTCACTGGTACTTTCTAATGATATTAAAGCTGATTATCCCCAACGTTTCTCGCTGGCTGCTGTGCCTGAGCCTTTACACCCCTGAGAGCTTGAGCAGAAATGACCAACAGCCATTTCCAGGGATTGGTTGGGTTGGTGACCCCCGGTGTTGCTGGATTCCCTCACGTTGCCTGTCCTTGTTTTGCTAGGGATGAGTGCCAAGGCAGAGAGCTGAGGATGTGACCAGTGAGACGGTGAAAGGTATCAGGAAGAGATAAACTTGAATTCTTCAAGATACTGACAATGACCTTRTATTCTGAGATAATGGAGTAATTTATTTTTTACTAACTATTCGTATAAGAAATTTGATTGTTGAAACTTTTGCTTCTGGACTAGATCCATTATTTCCACTGGTTTTGCTCTTCAGATTATTTCAGAAACCAARTGATTTCCCCTAAAATCTCAGCAAGTAATTTTGTGAGTATGAAGGTGATTGGGAGGGAACCACTGATTTTTCACAAGTTTTCCCACTTGCAGAACAGTTTGAAAGTTTATTTGGAAACTAAAGCTGCTTGTGTTGTGTTCAAAAGCAGTAGGGCCTGGATGGGAAGCTCAGGAGCTGAGRCTCCTCAGGAGCTCAGGGTGATCACATCTCACTCAGTTCCGACAGGTAATACATTTATCCTGGGATATGTGGCCACCACCAAGTGGTGCTTCAGTTCCTCCTGCAGAGGAGGAGTCTGCACTGTTGGAATTGGCAGAGATTTAAAAGATGAAAGGCTCAGAGTGAATCTCACCTCAGTTTAAGCTCTAGGTCAGTGTGTAGGAAAAGTTTATGTTGTGTATGGTTTTGAGTTGTATTTCCTGCACCTTTCATATGCACTAAATTCACTTTAAGATGGTAAACACAGTTGTGTCCCGGTTGTCTTCCTTCTGGCACAAATTTGGCAGCACAGGCGTGTCCTGGTGCTCCTGGGAATGGGACAGCCCAGAGCTCCCAAGTGGAGCTGGCACAGGATGTGTCCTGCTCCTGGCATTTCCATGGATGCACAGTGCCCTCCCACACAGAGGGCCCTGCTTTTCCCTCAGAGAAAAACCCACCAGCAAACACTGGGCAAGGAAGTGGGGAGTCACCAGACTGCTCCAGGGCAGCTTTGGTACCATGAGCACAGTGAGACTGAGCACCAGATACAGTCAAATGTCACCATTTAAAAAATTAAAGACATTTAATGTAGAAAGTTACATTACAGATCAACAACGTACAAAATYGCTGTATAAAGAAAATAAACATTGCCCAGTTTTCTCGCCCCTCGTGTGACAGCATTGGRTAGAAATCCCAGGAATCACATTTCAGAATTGGTGGGGTCTTGGCTGTTGTCCACCTGTATGGGGTGTCTGTAATTAAACATGGGCTGAAGCCAGTAGGAACAGAGTGTGTCCTTTGGGATTGGTTTGGCATTTCCTCAGAGAAATGGAAAATTCTGGAGTGGGGAGAGCACCAGGCATAGAAATTCATACCTGGGCCTGAGCATGAAGGGAAGGGCTTTGTGTGTGACAGCAGTGACATCCTCAGGTGCCTGAGCTGCACCTTGGACCCTGTGTGGGGGGAAGCTGCTGCAGCCCCTTCAGCTGAGGGGCCTCAAGTCCCACATCTGGCTCAAAGCAGGGCTTAGCCAGGGCTTTATCCAGTCAGGTTTTAGCAACCTTCTCAAGACAGAGCTTGCCCAGCCCTGGGGATCTGTCCCACTGCTTGGCTGTCCCATGGGAGAGTTTGCCCATCTCTCCAGTGTCTCCACTCAGGCCCCACTGTCCCTTCCCATCTTCCCCCTGGGTCCATCTTCACACTGACCCCTCATGGCTGTGGGTGCTGCTCTGAGTTTTCCCTATTCCAGCTGGACAATCCTATTTTCCAGGATTCTTTTATAAAAGTGTTCCATGGCAGAGGAATAACACAAGGTACTTGTCCTAATTGCAAGGAATACACCCCAAAGTGATCACCCACATTTCTGCAGCATTGTCCTTTCATTTATCCTCACATTGCAGTTTTGCAGCCTCCAGTCCATGATTTCAGTCAGTTCACAGATCAAAAACCTCATTCTTCATTTCCTTCAGAGAATGAGTTGGTGGCAGGAGTTTGTGGAACACAGAACACTGGATCCCATCCTCATTTGGTTAATTAAGGCAGGTGATTGGCATCTCTCTCTTCAATGGAGGGAAGCAACCATATGATCATTCTGCTAATTAAAAAACTAATATGAGCTCAGTTTCTGCAGCAGTTCCCTTTTCTGCCAGCTGTTTTCAGCAGCTGGTTCAGCACTGCCCCAGCACATTAATCACTGTATGGCTTCTTGGACTGGCTCCTCTGTGCTCCCATCTCCTTCATGCTGTACAAGGGCTCCACGAGCTTGTTGTGAACCAGCATTAAACCTGGTGGAGAAAGCCAAAAGACAATTTAAGTAGACATAATAAAGGAAAATTCTCATTCCTTGGATGCTAGTGGAATTACACGTTACTGGTGTCCTTGTGCCATTGCTCCCACACCAAACATTAATCATTTACCTTCACACTTGTACTACCATATTTAAGGAATACACTGCTTTGGGAGTTGGTTATACAGCAACATCTCTGCAAAGCATGGCTCCTGGAAATGTAACAAAACAGCAGCCTGGGCTGCTCAAACATTCACCTTTGAAGTATTTCACTGTCTTGACTTTGAGCTCCAGCGTGGCGTCCTCGTCGCACACGAACACGGTGTTGGGGTGCTGCTGGAAGGCGGACACCGTCCACATGTGGTTCACCCCRTCCTCGATGGCTTTGTACAGAGCAAAGGCTTTGTGGGCTCCTGTGATCAGGATCATCACCTGCACCCCAGACACAGAGAGGGGTGGTCAGGGAGAGCCCAAACCCTGCCCATCTGAGAATGGGGACAGCCCTGTCACCCTCCCCACGGCCACCTCTGTGTGRCAGGGCTGCTGCTCTGGCTGCTTCAGCTGTCAATGAAATCACAGCCTGGTGGGTGCCTGCAAGGATCCTTTGGGCACCTCAATGCTAAAACTCAACAAATGTAGATAAAGGAATACACTCCATTAAAAGTGGTCCCATATAATTTTCATGACCTGCTGGTGTGGCATCAACTCAGCATCTGATTCCTGCACTTGATCTCCAGGTGAGATTCCTAACCAAAGATASCCTCCCAAACCTTCCTGGCACCCTGTGGGGAGCAACTGCAGGGTTACACAAACACAGGTGCCAGCAGAGACAGAGCAGGAGCCTTTCCACCGTGCTGCAGGATGCAAGAGGACAGGAGGATCAGGCATTCTGTGGCAGGAATAGCCTACACCAGCAGGACACASAGCTGCTCCAAAACAGGATAACCTTTGGCTGCTCCAGAGCAGCTGACAGAAGCCACTGCTTTTGTCCTCACCTCTCTGGCRTCCATGACAGTGCCTACTCCGACTGTCAAAGCCATGGTGGGCACTTTGGAGAGGTCACCATCAAAGAACCTGGCATTGGCCAGTATGGTGTCCATGGCCAAGGTCTTCACACGTGTCCTGGACACCAAACTGGACCCCGGCTCGTTGAAGGCGATGTGACCRTCGGGGCCGATACCTGGGACAGGGACAGCACAAGAAGAGGGTCAGCTGTGGGAGCAGAGCCAGCAGCTCTCCCAGGAGAACAGGCAATGCTCCTGGCAACACAGAGCTGAGAAAAACCCCTGTGATTCTTCTGCCCAAGCTCAGAATTGTGTCTGGTAGAACGACAGCAAGAGCCCCCTCAGAAGCYACCAGACAATTCCCTGATTGCACTGGGACAATGATAAAGCAAACTGGGTGGCAGAACCTTATAGCAAACTTTGTGGGAAAAGCCACTCCCAGCAGTGTCCTGTCAGCACTGACAGCTCATACACTTCATATCTGTACAATTCTGGCTTTCCTATTTCTCCTGCTCACATTTCCTGAACAATTCACTGACTGGACTGAAACACCTAAAGCTGGGAGTGCTACCCTGGGAGATGAGGCTGCCAGGACACAGCAGTGCCAGGGCCATGGACTGTGGTGGYTTTCACTGCAAATACATCACAAATAAACAACCCTGACAATAAATGAGAGCTGGAGAGGACAGGCACAGCTTTGGGACAGGGTTTAAAGGATGCTGCTCTGGGTTCTCACCTCCAACAAAGAGCTCGATGCCTCCAGCTGCTTTGATCTTCTCCTCGAACGCGTCACACTCTGCCTGGAGATCAGGGGCATTTCCATCCAAGATGTGGACRTTTTCTGGTGAGATGTCAATGTGCTTGAAGAAGTTATTCCACATGAAGGAATGGTAACTTTCTGGGTGATCCCTCGGGAGACCTGGAAACAGAACATGCAGGAATGAAGCCAACTGTATCAGTATCACTCATAACACAAAGCACTTCCATACCCTTGCAGTGGCTTTGGTGACAGAGCACTGCTCTCTCTGTCCTTTGTCACTCCCTCAGCTTTCAGAGGTGTTTTTATTTCTCTAAACAGCAGAATTAAAATCAGCTCCTGTAAGACATGTGCCCATATTTAACAGGAAAGTGATTTTCAAAAAGCAAATGTGTGCTGTGCCTCATCTGTCAGTACCTTTTCAGCCTTTATCCCATTTCATATTAGCAAGAATGMTTAAAAATCTGTGCAAAAGCCTGGGAAATAACAATTTTTGTATAATTACTGTGTATTTCCCCCTTTGAATGCTATAAATCCACACTGGACTGCTTATTCCCTAATGCCGCTTGATTAGGATTGCTCACAGAAAAAAAGCCCTCTTGACCAGGGTAAAATTAGTATTAGCAAATATTTAGCTGGTAGGTTTTTCACCTTTGGATCTTTTTCTTCTGAGGAGACTGTTTCACCATGACTTCAGAAATGAAACAGTCCCCTGCTGTCTCAGCAGAAGATACCAGAGGGCACTCAGGGAACACACTGGTCCTTGTATGGGATCTTTACAATCCCAGAGCAAAGGTGGAAGTTAATGCTGCCCGCAGAGCCTGCAGTGATAAGCTGCTCCTTACCTGGTCAGTACCTGAGTGCAGGTAAAGCAGATTCTGTAACTGTGTGCAATACTGGGCAACACCCACTATCGAGCTTTTTCCATACATTTTCAAACCTATGGAAAAATTTCAAATTTCTTCCATAGGTTTTCAAACTGTCCCCATTATTCCTTGGAGCTGTTTAAGGAAACATTGGACATGGCACTCAGTGCCGTGGTTTAGCTGACACGGTGGTGTCGGATCATAGGTTGGACTCGATGATCTCAGAGGTCTTTTCCATCCTAACTGATGCTGTGACTCTGTGAACTGTTGTCCATCTTACCTGGACAGGTGGATTTCGGGCACCGCCAGGCTCTGCGGGGACAAAGGACCAGGGACAAAGGACAGGTGGCACTCACCCACGTACTCGTCCATGTTGAAGGTCTTCACGTACTTGAAGGAGAGGTCTCCGTTGCGGTAATACTCCACCAGCTTGCTGTAGCATCCCAGGGGAGTGCTGCCTGCGGGGAGCGGCGGCTCAGCCGGGGCAGGGCGCTCACCCTCACCCGGCCCCGGCCCCGGCCCCGGCCCCGGCCCCGGCCCCGGCCCCGGCCCCGGCCCCGGCCCCCGGCACCCACCTGTGGGCAGCCCCAGCGTGAAGAACCGCCCGGGCCCGGGCCCGAACTGCACGATGCGGTTGCGGATGTACTTGGCCGCCCACTCGCTGGCCTGAGAGTAATTCTCCAGGATGATGAGCTTCATGCTGGGGCCGCCCGGGATCGCCGCTTCCCTCTGGGATCGCCGCTTCCCTCTGGGATCGCCGCTTCCTTTGGGATCGCCGCTTCCCTCTGGGATCGCCGCTTCCCTTTGGGATCGCCGCTTCCCTCTGGGATCGCCGCTTCCCTCTGGGATCGCCGCTTCCCTCTGGGATCACCGCTTCCTCTGGGATCGCCGCTTCCCTCTGGGATCGCCGCTTCCTTCTGGGATCGCCGCTTCCTCCGGGGCTCAGCTCTGTCCGCAGTCTCCGCTCGCTGCCGCTGCCGCTGCCGCCGCTTCCTCCCGGCTCGCCCCTGCCCCGATCACTTCCGCGGGCCGGGCAGCGCCGCCCGATCCGGGCCGTGGGTGGGCGGAGAGCGCCGGGCACGGCCCCGCGGGCGGGACCAGGGCAGGGCCCTGCAGCGGCACTTTGGGCTGAGGATTCGGCAGAACGGTGAAATCCATGAAATCCACCCGGCCGGGATGCWCGGGTCAATCAGTCACCCACACTGCAAGGCCGCCTGCTGTCCAAGCGAAGATTTGGAGAGCAATGTTTTACCCACATTCGTTAAAAAGGCCATAAATATCTCGATGTGGTTCTGCTGCAGTGTCCTCATCTCAGCAGGGATCCGCCCGACTCCGTCCTTCAGCTCTTCAGCCCTGCAGCGAAGCTCCCAGCCTTGTCCCACAGAACGAGCTGCTCTCACACTTGAACTGTTCCGCAGGGACCCACTTTAGGGCATGTTGGGGTGGTTCTGGAGGATGGAGGGACCATGATCTCTGTCCTTGCTGCTCCTGGCACAGTGCTATTCCCAAAACACCTTCCTGCTGTTGCTCCAGCTGCCTTAAAGTTCTCATGGAAATGGGCTCGACCTCTCCTTGCACCGGCTTGGTTCATTGCTGGGATGMAAAGCTCTTACTTCAAAGTTAGACTGATTTTCAATTTAACCAGAAGGAAGAATGAKCTACAAATTGCTTTGCTGGGATCCAGCCCATGCAGTTCCTTCTCATTTTAATAATTTAAATGACCTAGCTAGAACCAGTGTTCCTGCTGTTGTTTCATCCTGGAGAGCCCTTGGTTTGCGTTKGGATGGGGAGCGATGGGTGTGGCGGGCTGTAGCAGGATGGCTCTGGGCAGACACGGGGAGAGTTTTAGGCCACAGAGACTAAATAAATTCCACGGCCGTGCGTTTCCATGAGCAGTGTCAGCCCACGGGCAGCTCTCTGTGGCTGGTGTCGGGTGGAGGAGCTGACAGCAGCGGCATTCCCGGCTCTCCTGCAGGGCAGAGCAGCTGTTTTGTGAAAAACAGCTCTTCTCTTGTCCCATCGGGGCCATTCGGTGTCACAGACCCACTGGTTCCTCGGACACTGGCAGGACCCACGGTATGGAAGGTTCAGGGAGGTGCTGGGGTAACCGGGGATGGAAGGGATGAAATCTGGACCCTTCCCATCCTGGAGCTGCTTCAGTTCTTTCTCCAGGATGTGCCGGCACGAAGGGCACCTGCTGAGCGCCCCCCTGACCTGTTCACACACCCGGAGCTCCCACAGCGCCCCTATTGCGGCACAACTGCAGCTTCTGGCGTGCAAAACCAAAACTGCAGCAGGGTTGGGCACGGAGAGAGCACCGGCACCGGCTCTGCTCGGCGTCACCATGGAAACGCGAGATTTCGGAGCAGCAAATCCTGCAGGCACAGCCCAAACAGGTATTGATTGAAGGAGACATCATGGCCTTCCCTTCTAGGGCAACACCCGGGGTTCCTGCGGGTTGAGGGGTTTGTGTGCCCTCGGAGCGGCTTGTGGACGGTGTCAGCTCATCCCCTGTCTCCCACCTCACCTGCCCTGGGTGCCCTCGGGGGTGTGGAGAGCCTTTGACATCGGCCTTGCAGCCCCCTCTCTGCTCACACAGCCCCGCCGTGGGGATGGGTTCGGTGAAATCCAAGTGCTGGAAGGCTCTGACTGCACAGGGTCTGGTTTTCCTCTCCCCTGCGAGTGGCTGGGGCAGCAGCAGCGCTCAAAGATGCAGGAGCCGGCAGCTCCCTGTGAAATCAAGCCGTGTTTTGGTGAGAGAGGAGCCGCAGCAGAGGCAGGCAGGTGCCCCCGTGCTGCCCACACGCYCCAGCCTTCCTCCGAGCTGCTCCGGGGCTGGCTCAGCCGTGTGACTCGCAGGCTGGGTATTTTTAGGTATGATAATTTCTGCCCGTTATTGTTCCTGCATTTACAGCGARCTGTTCCCATGCTGAAGAACTTCCTGGTGTCTGAACAGGCTGATTTTCCTGCCTTGCGAAAGCAGCAGATGGAAGGAAACAAACACTTCTCTGCAGGAGCAGTTGAAGTTTATTGGGGGAGCTCTAACAAGCACAGCATTTTCTTTTGCCCCATCTTGAAGAGATCAGAGTCAGCAGCGCTCAGAGACCAAAGCTTTTGCTACGGGGAATTGCTTGGGAGCACTGGGATTCATTTCCTAAAAAAGCAACAATTAAAAAATTATCTCCATGAAGAACCCCCTCTCCAAAAACTGTAATTAAAATTCTTTTTAAAATCCACCATCAGTCACTTCTTCCTGCTCCAGCATGTTCCACTTACCTTCTGACCCCAATTTATAAGAAAAGGAGAAATAATAGGTCTGGAGGGGAGCTGCTTTTTCCTTCAAGCCCCACTCACAGCTTAGCTCTTCCAGCAGCACCCAAATCTYAGTTAGGATTTTTCTGGGGGTCACAGCAAGACAATGTGTAGGGCAGTGCATGAGCAGGCAGCTCTGGAGAGAGCCCATGCCAGTCCCTTCCTGTTTTTTCAGGTGAGTTTCCCACGGCAAAGCTGTTAGGACTACACTCCTCACCAGGTTCAAAACTGCCAGCCTAAGCAGAAAGGGATTTAATCTGGATACCAAGATTAAATTAACCATTGGTTAATTGTGATTTCTCCACTAGGCTGAAGAAATAATGGAGCAACAAAGGACGCTGGTGAAATCAGTGAGTTGGGGCCCCAAAAGTCAGGCTGGACTGTGTTTGCTGTGCTATGTGGAGGCAATTTGGAACTCAGCTCTGCCTTGTCTCGTGCACCATCCAGCACAACTCAGTGCATCACTCCATATCTGCCCCTGGGTTCTGCTGCTGGCTTTCAGGATGAGTCCCATTGGGCAAGTCTTCCAGCTCAGTGCTGCTGTTGTTTTCATTCCTCCTCCTTACAATACTCGTGGCTGATTGGGGTGTAATTTTCCACATTGGTGAACAAGGCACCGCTTCCACCCCGCTCTGCCCGGGCTGTGGGACGTGTGGCTGTGCTCGCTGGGACTCTCCCCGTTCCAGCAGACCCGACGTGACCCAGTGCCTTTTGTTTTTGCACAAACACTCACGGGAATTGCAGCTGCCTGCGTGTCCAAAGCTGCAGAACCTGCTGCTTGCAGGGCTGGACGAGGTGTGGGGCAGCKTCCTGGGCCAGGGGCTGTCACAGAATGGTTTGGGTGGGAASRGACCTTAAGWTTATCCAGTTCCACCCCCTCCATGGGCAGGGACACCTTCCCCYATCCCAGGTTSCTCCAAGCCCCATCCAGCCTTCCAGAGTTCCAGAGGCACCCACAGCTTGGCTTTTTTTTGGCAAAAAGCTCAAAGATTGTTYAAATACAAGATGGTCTCAAGCACAAAAAGTCTTCATGGCCAAGTGATGTTTTGGGGAGGAACATCTGTCAGACAGCATTTATTAATCCTTAACAAATCTCTCCCTCTTAGTTATACATCTCTAATTCAGGATGTTATTCTACAGTGGGAAATGACATCTATGTATATTCAAACCTTGWGAATCCAATCCTTGCACATGGAGTGTCTCTGCCTCCAGGGACACAGGAATATTYAGAGTTGATGACAAAAAAGTTCTTGTCCTGTGTACATTTTTATTTTGTTTTTCTTCTTAATTGGATATTTAAGCACTAAAAGGTTAGAAGAAAGATTTAGTTTTAATGCCCTGCTCAATTCTCACTAGTTTAGTTTACACACCCTGCTTTTGAGGTTCATTATTTAGCTTTTAGTGTTCAATATTTATTACAAAGTGCAGATTAAAAGTGTTCCATTTATTGCTCAGTTGTACACAATAATTAAAGGAACACATGTACAGCTCTAGGATTTCAGAGGACTCACTCCACTGCAATTCTGTCATACTTTCAATTGCTTTCAAATACTTTCACAGCACATCCCGTACGGAAGTCACTAAAATCAATGACTTCAAGCTTCAAGTGTCTCTTGGGAGAAAAGACATTTTGTACTGGAGAAAAAGTCAAAAAACACAGAGGCATGAAGTGATTTGCCTCAAACCACTTGGGAAATGAAAGCAGAACMAGTCACGTGCTGTAACCACAGCATCATCTTTCTACTGAGCTTCCCCACCTAAGAAAATAAAATAAACACAGGGAGAGCAGCTGGAAGAAATTGCCATTCCCCCTCTRGAATCAGTCGTGCTCAGACTAGATGGACTAATTAGGCTGTGATTTGCCTCCACTGGCCCCAAAATGGCTTTGACACAAACATTTTCACCATTTGTCCGGGATACATTCCAGCATCTTCTCTGAGGATGTGCACAGGTTGCACCTTATTTTAGTCTCTGTGATGTCCAAGTCAATCACTGTGCAGCTAATTACCACTGCAGCTGCAGCCTTACTTAGGGATGTAATCCCACCTCAGCAGTGAGTAAATCCATGCATGTCACCAGGACAGCTCCTTACTGCAGGGAAACTCTCGGTGCAAATTGTGAATCTTGTGGAAAGGTGAAACCAGAGTCTGTCAGTGCCTGCAGCTCTTGTTCCAGCTCCTTCAAAGGCACCTGTTTTGCAAGAACCCTGCCCTGTTCTTGTGTCTCCAGCATTTCTCTTGAGTCACTTTTTGAGGTTATTCATGGCTAAAATCCTTCACGGTTCCTGCCTCTCCTTCAGCATGAGAACTGGGATGTTCATTCATCTCACCAAGACATCGATGAACTCCCTACCCCTCAAAGGCAAAATACAGGGAGAAAAGAATCCAGGCTGATTATGGTACGGAGTAATGAGCATTGAGGCCTGTATTTATGACTGAGTGTGCAGTTCAAAACCATGTCCTCGGGCTTCAGTGCTTGCAACTCTCTGAATTTGCAGTTTGGAATCCCAGCAGGGCTGATTCAGCCTTCCTCATCCTAAAGCTGATATATTTAAATCTCATCCACCTTAGGGATTGATGTGGGTAATTTTGTGCAAGCCTGACTAGAGCTGAACCGCGCATGTAGAAAACAAATGTTACACAAGCTGAAGAGTGTTTTGGCCAATGTAACACTGAAAAACTCTCAGAATAAACCAACTTCTCTCACTGCGTGGTTTCCTACAC